TTAGACTCTTGGCACTCTTAGGTGAGCAGACTTAGTCAGCCTGTGTTGCCCTAACAATCAGGTTCTTGAATCATTCTTGAAACCTTTCTGCATTCACATATTGAGCTTTCGAAATCCTCCTTTCAGTTTCTGCTAAGTTCTCTGGTCTCTTCAGGAGTTGTTGAGTGTGGAATGCCACTAAGTCTGCACATGACAGGAGTTGATCTGGGGGCAGAGCTAGCCAAGTTGCCTCTATAATGTCCATTGGCAGAAGGGGGTGAATTCTGTGAGCCATGTAGAAAGGACTCATTCCTGTAGCACTGTGAATAGATATTTGTTGTGCCCAGAATACAGCCAGAATCACTTCAGGCCATTTCGACTTGTCTTTGGACATCAAATGGATAATCAATTCTTGAACCGTTTGGTGACTCTGTTTGACAATTCTGTTTGCCCTTGGATTGTAGCTCAAAATTTGAATGTGGTTCAAGTGGTACTTTTCCTTGAGGGAATTCATAGCACTGATCCAAGGAGAACCATTGTCTGTGACAATTTTGCTGATAGCACCCCAACAACAGAGAATATTCTTATGAATGAAGTCCTCTATGACCTTGGCTGTTTCCTTCCAGCAGATCATGTACTCCAGACAGTGTGTAAGCAAACACTGAGCTTGCAGAATGTACCTCATTCCTTGGTATTGACCTTTTGAGGGTGGCATGAACATTGTGTTGCAGTGAGCTCGAAAGAATAGCAGTTGCAGAGTCTGTACCATGGGCAGAATAACCACATGTCTCATCTGTTGTTGTTGGCATTTGCTGCATGTCCTTAGGTACCATTTTGTGTCATCCATCAGGTTTGGCCAGAAGAAACAAAGTCAAATGTGGTCATATATCATTCAAAAGCCCCTGTGTCCGATCTCATCATGCATGTTCTGAAGGAAGTTGATCCTCTTTTCAAATTCAATATAGAGCTGATGTTCTCCGTTTTTGTCCCATTTGTATAAGTTGTCCTGGCCTTCGAGGAAGTAATGCAATGTTTTTTCTAGAAACAACTTCCATTGTGCATTGGTCAGACTTCAAGGTCTTCAAAAGTTCCTTAGGTATTGTTGAATTGCTAGGATCCTTTTGTCTACCTCCTTTGTCTTTTCAAGCCTAGGTAGCACCTCTTCCAGGGGGTTCAAAAAATCTGGAACAGGGCTTCAAAGGGACTGTTCCAATATGAATGTGTAAGACAGGCCGAGGGTGTTGTCATCTTTGAATTCAGGTAAATGGTCATCAATATCAGATTGGCAGGCCATGGGTCATCTCAAAAGGCCATCTGGTGCAGTATGTCATTCCACCAGGACATGGTGGAGTTTGAAATTGAAGAGATGGATCCAATGGATCCACCAGTTCAGAACAACACTCAGCTGTATGTCCAGGTGGTTCAGCATTCCTAGGATGTATTTTGCATTGACCTTGACATCAAAATTCAGAATGCCTACAAGCCAGACTCAAAACACCTTTAATGCTTGGTAGAGGCCATACAGTTTGAGCTTTGGTTGCGAATACTTGCTTTTGACTTCATTCCAGTTGATCAATCTGAATTGTGATGGGCAGTGCTTTCCTTTTTTGTCATTCTGATACAAAACAAAACCAGTACTGATGTTCAAAGAGTTGACTGCCAAGGTAATATGCTGGTTGCTCTTGCAGTTGATGGGCTTGAGGATGTTGTTCATTTCTGCCGCAATTGCTGATTCCTGCAGAACTTGAATGGCCTCATATTGTTCTGGTCTGAATTTGAATGGTACACCCTTGTGTTTCAGATGTTCCAGTGGGCATGCCTTCTGAGCAAACACTTCAATGAAAATTTGAAGGACACCTACTGTGCTGAGGAATGCCCTGACTTCCAAAAGATTTTCACATGGTAGCCTCCATTCAGTGATCTTTTGAAATTTCAATGGGTCTGGAGCACAGCCTTTGTAGCAACACCTGTAGCTGAGGAGTATTATTTCCAGGATGCACAGTTGTACCTTGGGTCCGGAGAAGGTTCCCCCCATGTGTTTGGCTTGCTGGATGATTTGGTGCATGTTTCTGAGGTGTTCAAAAACAAAGTGTCAAATGCCAGGGTTGCCTGGGATTGTTTTGAACTCGCCATTGGATTTTTTGTACTGAGTCTTGGGGTCTTCTACTCTGATATTGTTGATGAACAGGGTGGTCAAATGGGGAATCTCATCCTGGAAAATGAAGTTGACATTGCCCTGCATGATGCCCGGCATGTTGTGGGTGCCCATGGGTGTGACAGTATACCTGAGTGGGCTGATGGGAGACTGAAACGAGGTGTAGTCCCTTGAACTCAAAGTGATGGGGTGCTGTTTGAATCCTCGAAAGAAGTCCAGAAGTCCATAACATCCTCTTGATCTGAAGTTTTCCAGAATGTGTTCTGTCAATGGGGGAACTGTGCTGCTTTGTATCATGACTTGGTTTAGGGGCCAGGCATCTATGATGGGCCTCAGTTCTCCATTCTTCTTTTGAATAACAAACCAGCAAGATCAATATGCAGACTGAGAGCATTTGAAGGTGCCTGTGGCTACCTTGGCATGGAGGACTTTAATCACATCTTCCATAAGGGTGGGCAGCACTGGAATATTCCATTCCTGCCATGGAACATGTTTGACTGTTGGAAAGATAACCTGATCAATATAATTGGCTTGGAATTGTCCATTTTCTGACTTGGCCCACAAAAATGTGTATTTGTGTGTCTTCAGCACCCAGGCTGTGAGCTTCTCCTCTTTGGGGAGAAGGAATTTTGACTTGTTGATTTTGAGCACTTCAAAATGCTTTTTTGTAAGCCAAGTGCCTGGAACAAAATTGGGTGGTCAGACTGGCAATGGTTCTAACTGATCTAACAGATCAGATGGGAAACAACAGTATATCTTCAGTTCTTTGGGGTGTTGTGAGGGCACACTATAATTGACAGAGGCTGCCCAGACATAGTAGAGATCAAAGTCAAGTGGAGAGAGGAAGTTGTCATTGAGGGGTGGGGGATAAGGTGCTGATGAGGTGACAGAGGTATATTCTGCAGAGTACTATCCCTATCAGAGTACAGTGGAGATTCCTCAGAGACCAGATCTGAGGATATCATCATCTAAACAGGTGGGTATTTATACTAAAGAGAAGGAGGAAAGGGTCTAGTCATGGTGAGTCATGGCTGGTCATCTCTGACCAGTCATGGCGAGTCATAGGCCTTGTTGTTATGAGTCACTGGCTGGTGGCTAGTCATCAGCTGTCATGCTGTGCAATGCCACACAGCCCTACCACAGCCAGTCAACAGGCCACACAACACTGGCATAGCTGGTGTCAGGTTGATGCAGCATGAGTAATCATGCCTGAGTAAGCAGTAGTCAAAGTGAATTAGACATCCCCTGACAGGTGTGCAGTGGGCACTGGCTTGATACAATCAGCCACTTTCTTATACTTTCAAATGGCGAGTGCTTGGATTGGGGGGTATGCATGAGCAAGGAGTTTGTGGAAGTATGAGTTGTACTGGTACTGCTGGTTTAGAATTTCCAAATCCATGTAATGTATGGCCAGGATGTCAGGTATCAATTTGACCTTTGAATCTTGAAGTTGCCATGCTGGCTCTTTTGGCTTTGGGGTTGTCATGATAAGTCTACTGTGAGGGGAGTCTCTCCAAGTGTAACTCAGTTCCTTGACTCTTGAAAATCCTCCAACATGTGCAGGTTTGACAAACAGGTTGTGACAATGGTGGTCTTCAATGTAGTCAGACAGGTGAAGGTGATCTCCTGATACCCATCTTCAAAACCCTGAGTCAAACACTTAAAGAGGGTTAGGAATGACCTTCCAAGGAGCAGTCCAACCAGTAGCATAGTGGCCACATGCACCTGGAACAGTCTGGAGATGTTTCTGACCATTATCCAAAGGTTTCAAACACATCCCAATGTACTACTAATGCTTCCATTTGCTGACCTCATCTGAACCTTTTCCATAGGGGTGTAGACTGATCCTGTGTGACACCAGACTGTGTGGTGCATAATGATGAGCAAGCATCCCAAATTGAGGCAGCTGAGAGTTTGAAACCCAGTGTCTCTGAGTTCAACTGAAACGTCTCTCAATCCAACCACCTCTGGAGCTGTGATAATACCTCTTGGGAGTGCTGGCTTGTTGTGCTCCTCTGTATGCATTACTGGTTCTGCACCTGCCGGAATTTCCTTGATAGTGGCCATAGTGTTCCATATGGGCACTGTTTGAGGTACTTTCTGAGACTGTGTCTGCTGGAACAGATGTTTCTGGATCTGAGGGGACATAGCCATTGCTTCTTCAAGAGACACTGTTACCTGGCTTTTCATTATATTTGAAATAGCCATTTTGACCATCATATCATTCTCTGCAGGAGCTCGGAACTGCATTTGAGGGTGGATGTCCTTGTCCATTTCCTTTTTGACTGTCTTGGGAAGGTCCTTCAAACAGGATGGCCCTTCCTCCTGTGTCATGTCCTGTTCCAGTTCCTGTAGCTCTGTTTTGACCATGTGCCCTTTGCCTTTTGGAATGTAAGGTTTGGTTTGGTATGCTTCCTGTTTCTGAGTTGCCTCTTCAAGCCTGGTTTTGAGGGATGTGATGATTGACCATAGTTCTGCTGAACAACCCCACCTCCAGCAGGGTGTGTCAGGCCAATATTCCCATGGCTATTTTCAGGCCTTAGAGACTGTTGCACAGCACTACGGATCCTCACGACGCAGGACAATGCACCCCAGTGACAAGTCTTGACTCCCATGGATATTTGGCATGGTGACTGCTAGGATTCCCCAGGCGACGGGACCCTTGGATATTTGGCATGACAACAGTGGGTTTCCTCTGCAATGGGATTGACCCATCTGGATATTTGGCATGCCAACACTTGCCTTAGAGAGGTATCCAGAGACCAGATTAGTATAGAGTATGGTTTATGGTAGCTAGTATAAGTAGTTTCCAGAAACTCCTGTATCTAGCTTATTCTGCCCCTTTTCTGTTAGCAATTATAAGGATCTGATTATCCCCATACTGGGTAGGCAACATCATCTTGACTTAGCATATTTGACTTGACTTGACTGGACAGACACCAAGCTCCAATTATAGTGTACTGATTTTTGATAGCTCAGCTACAGGCTGACTCCAGCTTTTCTACTGACTTTCCCCTTCTCTCCCCTCTTTCCCCAGCAAGTTCTTGCACACCACCCATTGGACCAATATTTCGGACACCTTGTGGGTCGGATCACTTCCCATGCTGCTGACACTGATTCCACCATGTTCACTTCTGAACCTCATGATGGTTTCAAAAAGCTAAGAAAGTTGTTGGCTCCCATGAATGCCTGAACAATGTGAACTGGGGCCAGTCAAGTATTTGCAGCTGGGGCCTCTTTCATGGCAGCTGGTGAGTTCCTGGCATACCATGTGTGAACATGGTCTCTCAGTGCCCCAGAAGGCCACAAAGGAATTGGCACTCTATCTGGAAGAGTGATCTTATTCTGCAAGTTCTGCATGACATAACTGGTTTGAAGGCTCTCATCAAGAAGAGAACACTCCCTCATGAAGTGATCTGGCACTCTGCACCATAGGCATCCATTTGGGCCATTCCTGTCATTGTTCAAAGCTCAATTCCCACCTGGCTGTTGATTTGAATTCTGGTACCAGTTATTCAAATGGTTTGTATTGTATGTTGCCCTGGTTGCCATCATTTCAAACTTCTCCTCAAGCCAGGTAAGTACCTCTAGCATGCATTCCTGCACATTCAGGTTCACTTCAGCCTTGATGTTTGGATTTGAATTCTCTATTTGAGCTAAGGCTGCTTCCATTTCTGATTTGACTGTCATGGCTGCCATTCTGGGACTGAGAGAAATAATCTCTCCACTTGCTGGGGTGTTTGCCAGTAGGAGTGCAGCCATCTTAACTGCATTGTCCAAGGGCCAAGGATTGTCAGGCACAAAATTGGGGTATTTTGAGAGGAGCCTTGATTGAAGTTTCTCCTGAAATTCATAGTGAAATCCTCACATGAACATCTGTTGTTGCTTGGTCTTCAAAAGGTATTCCTTCCAAACCAGCCACTGGGATACTCTCAAAAACTGCTGTTGGTATTCTCCGAACTGGGTCCTGCTCTCCATGGGAATGGCTGCACTCTTCAAAATGAGTTGTTCCAGGTTGAGTCTTGAATATAGCTGGCTCAAATCTGTAGCTCCTGGGTAGAAAGCTAGAATCTGCTTTCAGAACTTATCATACTTCAGACTCACTGCATGACTTTCTTCTGCCATATCCCATACCTGAAAGACTTCCACATTGACATATTTGAGACCATATTTTACCCATTGCTCCGGTGGAACCTTGCAACTTTTGCGCATGTTGTCAAGAAATCTGATGACATGTTCCAGTCAAGCTGAAAGCAGTGTTGGAGTGTGCTTGCTTGTTCAAAGTGGCATCACTGGATCTGGGATGTCAATTGTGAGGTTTTCAAGTGTGCATTTGATATCTGAGGGTAGGCTCATTGGTTTGACTTCTTTGGAGATCAATTCCATAGTCATAGATGGTGTCTGCCTTGGGCCAGTGGATGAGTTGGATAAGCTTTCTGATAGAGGCAATTTTTTCAAACAGGCAGGGGTAGACTCTGAGGGCTGAGGTTGTGGTTTCTGGTTTTGGAACTGTGCCCCGCTTTGGGTGGTCAGTTTGACAGTTGCTTAGGTGGACCACTTGATCTGCAACTGAATGCCCCAAGTTTTCTCCCCAACCAGAATTTTTTCTTCAAATCCTATGTCAGTCACCAAATGTACTCTACACCTCCCAATAAGGCATCAGGAGAAGGTCTGCTGGAGGGGGAGTCAAGTGGTGGCCCCTATGTCATAGTAGGTAGTAATGGACAAAATCTGGCCTAATCAAATCATGGCCTCCTAAGATAGAGCTACTCAAATGCCAATCTGAAGAGTGTTGTGTGAGTTCTGAGGCCTGTTGCAGCAGTCCAAAGGAAGTCCAAACAAGGAAAGGAAGGGGAACGAGCCATATGAGGTGAACAAGTGTGGCTTCTGAAGGTCAAGTGGTTGAATCAAGGTTCAGATCTGTCCAAGAGGGAGCTGGAGCAAGGAGTGACTGTAAAGTAAAGCAGTATTATTAGTTGTAAGTTAAGAAATCACCTGTCTTGAACAAGTGAGATATGGTGTAAGTCAGAGAGGAGTCCAAGCCTCCCTATCCAAAGTATCCAAATCCCCCTATATACATTCAGAGCAGTTTGGACCTTCAGACTACCACTAAGCTATGTCTAATCTACATTACCTAATGCTATGTTCTAGGGTCCACTCTTGCTTGCAATAGTCTGGTCCAGCCAAGTTTGAGATGTTGTTCGAAGGGGCATTCAAAGGTCAGATTTGAGCTCAAAACTCAAATGTGCAGCACAGAGGTACAACAAGTAAACTGAGGTAATTGTGAGTGGAGGGTGCTCTCTTGATGTCAATATTGAAGAGAGGGTCACACTATCAAAGCACACTTGGCTTCTCAAGGGAGATCAGTCATAAGACCAGAATATCAACTAGACAGTGGAATTCCTGAGAGATCAAATCTGAGGAGTACATCACAATAATGGGTGACTCTATCTCTGAAAGGGTTTCAAGTAATTCAAGATTGTGGCTGATAATCTGTACAGGAGAGGTTACCTCAGGGCAAGCCTGTGTGGACTTCATGCTGATATGGCAATACCATCTTGATATTACCAATGAGCCAATATTGTGAGAACTTGCTTCTCAATGCCTTCTCAGTCTTTGATATTGCCAAACGCTGATATTGTGACTTCTCCAAGTTCCCAAGCAATCCCTATAAGTGGTCCCTAACATGAGATCACATGTGATACCACAGAAGGTGGTTGAGATAGGAGTGCACCCTGGTATGGTTGCCAATTGATATTTGCAATACTCTTTGATATCATAATGAGCCTTGAGCAACCATATGATATGCCTGATCTTGTCTGCTTGCACTGATATGGCCTTGCAATGCTTGTTGCTATCCATAAGATGCTTATTGATAGCATTGATATTGCTTTGATCCAGACTGAGATGAGGTGACTCCTGACACTCTGGCAACTCCTTCATGATGTGGTATGGGTGTGTCAGGGCACCAGCTCATTGCTTGGTCAAGAGACATGACTAAGCCTTTATGACATGGAAGTAGCTGGTATACCTTGGCATGTGCTGGAACCTGCTGGAAGGATTGGATGGTCAGGTGACCTGCTGTGCATGGCTGTGCATGACCTCATATGACCTGATCACCTGACTAGGCTGAGTAAGCAACATGTTCTAGCAGGTTCCACCACAGAGGTATAAATATAAGGCCTACTCTGCCTGGGGACTGTCTCTTCAGACTTGGTCTCTTAGGATCATCCACAGGTACCTATACTGTAGATAGGTCTCAGTCATCAGGTCTACTCCACTTCCTTGTTGCCTGCTTAGACTCTTGGCACTCTTAGGTGAGCAGACTTAGTCAGCCTGTGTTGCCCTAACAGGGTGAAGGGTTGAGATGTGGCAGCCATCTCCCCTCCCATAGTCAATGATTACAGCCCATTCATTGAGAACAGGGAAAAGGTGCTGCTAGGTCTGTTAGTCTTCCATCCTTCATGAGCATTTCTGATCAGAGTATAGCTGCAGAAGAGTTTTATCCACCTACAAGGACCTGTTTGAACACTCATTGCCTGACCTTGCTGCAAACTGGTATGCCTCAATGTTTGGGCAACCCCAGAAGGTATATGGGTGTGCTCTACACCCTTGGCCATGGGGCTTTCCCAATCATTGTCACTTCACTGCAGTGCACAGCATGCATATCTACCTATCACCCCAACTACTCCTGCAAATGAGACTTGGATGGAGTCACATGGTGTTGCTATTATGGTGGTGTGCCTACTGTGCTCAAGGTTTCTAAGCACACCTTTGAGGACACTCTGTGTGATCACTTTCATGTGCTCACAGTTCTCTCTCAGTAAGCCTCTGTTACCAATTAGAGGATGGTTTGCTGACTTTGCCCTTATTGTCAACTTTATTCACTACCATGGCTTCATTCAACTCCCCTTCTTCCACCAGGTCCTCAATAACAGCTAATGCACACATTTACAACACATCTCTGGTGTCTTGGAATGGTACCAAATACACTCCTCCTGAACTATGAGGCAAGGTAATTGCTGATGCCTTTGACCTTTATGCCTTGCTTCTTCATCACCAAGAGCATAAAACACTCTTGTGCATCCCCAAATTGGCTCCCACGGAAATCAATTGGCCTGCTGGTGCCATGCTTGAGTGGAACAGATTTAGAGTGGGCAATGGCCAAGAACAATGGGCATATGCATGTGATCTTTGCCACAAGCTTTTTGTCAGGGATCACCTAATTTCAAAATATTGTGATCATCTCAAACCCATGATACAGATTGAAGGACCAAGAGAAACATCTCAACCATCTCATGTGATATCAATGGCTGAGTCAAAATCCTCTAAGTCCCTAGGACCCTGCCCTAAGGTAATCCTGGCTGTACAGTTCTCAGCCACCCTCTTTAGACTACTTCCATGGATATCATAAATAGTCTTGTCCCCTTTCATCATTTCATCCTTAGATTTGATTTCTTAGGATCCTCCACAATACTTGTGTAGTCAAACTAGACATCAGTATCTCATCAAACTTATCTGCTTGAGCAAACTGGGCAATACAGTCAGCTTGTGCTCTCAATATCCTAGTGCTCCTCTCAATACTTCTCTCACCCTCTGTTGACACAACCATTACTTGATGATATCCACCAGCCTTGTGATATCTTGGCCTGGTGGTCTCACTCTCTCAACCCTTTACACATCCTCTATCCACCCTTTTCCGGGTGTATCGATGGCAGCCTCATGTCTGGTATTGTGTGCCCTGACATTTTTCATCTGCAATGGTGTTGATTATATATTTGTCTGTAGCAGTCAGACCTGCAGCTTAACCAAGTCAGATATGCTTTCCTGCACCATCACAGATAGAGTGTCTATAGGCCAACCCTGTTGTGCTGTTCATAATTGTGCAAACCTGCTCCCATCAACCCAGCTATGCTACTGCAATGTACATGCAGATTTTGAAGCAGTATGTTCTGTAGAAGGTTGTTAGCTTTCTGCCTGTTGGGGAAAGCAGACTTGCAAGCTGCCAATCCATGTGGAGGCTGAAGACAATTATTGTACTGTTGGACAATCATTGAATCTGTTGAAGACAGGCCTCTGCACTGCAAAGGACTATGCCCTTGGGGTTAACACCACAACCAAAGATCTGGCACCAGGTGATCCTCTTGAAGCTGTAGTAGTAGATGAAGTTGATAACAAGGACACCAATCCTTCTTCTGATGAGCAACATGGCACCCAATAAGTAAAGACTCACTTTGCAAGAAGACACATGCATAATGAGCAACTGATCATCTGACCTTGTGGCATCATTTTGGCATGTAGCACATTTTATGGCACTGAAGCATTAGGCTCTGTAGTGGTGAACAACCCCACCTCTGGTGGGGTGTGTCAGGCTGACTTTCCCATGGTTATTCGGACCCTTGGAGATGGCTGCATAGCACTACGGACCCTCACAACACAGACAATGCACCCAGCAATGAGCCTCAGCCCTCCGGATATTTGGCATGACAACTACTGGTTTCCCCTGCAACAGGATTGACCCACACGGATATTTGGCATGCCAACCTCTGCCTTGGTGAGGTATCCAGAGACAAGATTAGTATTGAGCATAGCTTAGAGTAGCTAGTATAAGTAGTTTCCAGAAACTCCTGTACTTAGCTTATTCTGCCCCTTTTCCATCAGAGTTATACAGATCTGATTATTTGTATATTGGCAGACTTGACTCAGCATACTTGACTTGACTTATTGTGACTGACTGGACCAACACCAACTTCTGATTTACTGACCAATTATTGACAGCTCAGCTTTAGGCTGACTCCAGCATTTCTACCAACTGTTGCCCCTCTCTCCCCTGCAAGTTCTTGCACACCACCCATTAGACTGACATATTTGGACACCCAATATTTTGGATACCTTTTGGGTTGGATCACCATTTAGCCTGAATCTCATATAGTTTGGTTGCTACTTCCTTGAATGTTTGAGTGCCAGGAAACTCAGGCATTTGTATGCCATGGACATGCCATATCTCATCTTCTTGTGATTGCTCATCTTCACTGTCAGGTAAGGTGATGACTTCATCCCTTGAAGGAGTTTGTAGGACTGGCTGTGCATGTCAGGGCACACTGCCAGATATCAAAAGTATCCTCAAATCAGGAGCCTGATAAAAGCAAGAAGTAGCAAGGAGAGCACAAAAGCTCAAGTTGTGGTTGACAGTAGGGCCAATATATCAAATCAGCCCAAAATGCCTTTTGTCACAAGAGAGGTGCAGTGGAGTCATGAACAGTCTGAAGGGGTTGAAGTCTAGGTTCACACACCAATCAGAGAGTCAAAGAGGTTTGGTGAGAGTTTGATCTAGGTTTGTCACTATCTGATAGTGGAATCCCTGAGAGACCAGCTCTAAGGGGCATAAGGCTCCTAGAGCTAGTATATATACATGTAGGAAAATGGAAGTATAATGGAATCAAAAGAGCAGCTGTGGGACTGTATAGTTTACCATTGTTTAGGGTGGTGCTTTGAAGAAGTTGAGTGGTTTCATTTCAGGGTCAGCAGATTCAGGCTATACTGAGGCCAAAGTAAGCCTTTTGGTGTTGATTGTATCAAATTTGCACCAAAACTGGGTGAACCCTGACAGTGCAGGTGAAGGGCTTGAAAGATCTATGACTTGCTGTGCAGCAGAAGGGCTTGAAAGGTCTATGACTTCTGTGTCCAAATGTGAATCTGGGGTGCTTGCACATCACTTCCTTGGGTTTGTCATCTTAGATGGCATATCTTTGACACTCATTGTTTCACCATCCTTCCTCTTCCCAACTGCCTTCCCTTGGCTCTTGTCATTCAATATCACCTGGTTGTTCATCCCTGAGCTGTGGCCAGGTTTGGCCTGTCCATCTCATACCAGCTTTGGTAACTGGGAGGTATTCTTGACTATTTCTTTTTGAATATGGATATCTTCATCATCTGCAGTCCCTAGACAGCACACCACTTATTCCCCTCCTTTCACAGGCAACAGTGAACTTTGATCATATACTTCCCATGCCTGAGACCCAGGGTGATAGATTTCTATGCATTCGAAGTCCTCACCCAGATTATTGCTGAGAAATTGCTGAACATGTTGAGGCCATTGCTGTATGCCAGTGGATAGCCCTGTAACCATTGGCATTGCCATCATGCCACTGAATTCACATTTGGTTGTCTACAAAGGATCAGCAGTCTGTCTCTGGAAGTGTCTATTGGCATGGACCTCAGTGAAGATTACCCAAGTGAACAGGCAGGACTGTTCTTCCTGCCTTGCCTGAGCTTCATCCTCTTCATTTTGTTGTCCCTCTTTGCTTGAAAAAAGAGAATGATGGACCTCCTTGTATGCAGTGGGTACTGGGGTTCCAAGTGGTGATAGTGTTGGCAGTCAGTGTTGCAAGACTGTCAGGGGATGCCCAATCTCAGGGCACTCTTGAGCAATTACACATGACTGACAGGACAACAAGACATTGTCTTGCACCTATACAAGATGCCATTGGGCACCCTTGGATGACAAGGGTGATGGAACATTGGTTACTCAGCAACACATGACCTCAACTGATGCCAATGATCACCATTGGCTTCATCATGAATGCATGATGGTGGAGGGTGCCTCTAGAGCAGACTCTTAACTGTACAGGTGTGGCTGACTTCTATTTGCTTCCATTTATCAGATAGTATATATACCCAAGGTAGACCCTTGTAGATCCTCAGATCTGATCTCTGAGGACCCCCCATAGTCCTAGGCATCCAAACTGAAGCCTGTTATTGCCTGCTATTGCCATCAGTCACTGAGCAACTCTTGGGGTATCTGGGTGATGAGTGGCCTACTTCTCTCTATTGTGTCTGGTGACAGGGGTTTGAGTAATCTTGCCCTCTCACCCACATGTACTAGTGCATTGCATGCACATTTGAGGTCTTGCTTGTTCAGTCATACAGTCATTGCTAGTGCCTAGACTGTGTTGCTCTCACAAAGACACTGTGGAAAGCATGGGATGCTTGCATCATCAGAACTGTAAATGGAAGGTCATCAGTGGACTTGGTGCCTTCTTGCTGTTCCAGTGCTTCATCACATAGCTCAATTATATCAGCTTGTCCTTGAGTGGTGAAATTCATCCTATGTATCTCACAATGTTCTCCTTGTCAAGTTTGTTCTGCCCAGCAACACATTTGACAGCATTTCATCACACATAACTGGTTTATCTTCTTTGGCTTAGCCTTGCAAGAGCACCCACATCCACTACAGTAGTGACTAGGGGCCCTGTCCTTGTGGAATAAAGCAGCTACTGTTGATAATGCCTTGGTTGGGCTTGACTTGAAATGACTTGGCCTGCTTGTCACCTGTGTGGATAATCTACATTGATCAGCAGGAATTACATTTGGTGTCTATCATCTTGATCTGTGCTCTGATGGCAGACTGGAAGAGTGGTTGGGTCATGGAAAGCACTGATCCAACCCAAGAGGTGTCCAAAATATCCAGTGTCTGAATATGTCAGTCCAATGAGTGGTGTGCAAGAACTCACAGGGGCAAGAGGGGGAAAAGTCAGTAGAAATGCTGGAGTCAGCCTAAAGCTGAGCTATCAGAAATTGGTCAGTAAATCAGTGGTCAGTGTCAGTCCAGTCAATGATGATAAGTCAAGTATGATAAGTCAAGTCTGCCAATATATGAATAATCGGATCCATATAACTCTGACAGAAAAGGGGCAGAATAAGCTAAGTACAGGAGTTTCTGGAAACTACTTATACTAGCTACTCTAGGCTGTGCTCAATACTATCCTGGTGTCTAGATACCTCACCAAGGCAGAGGTTGGCATGCTGAATATCTGGGTGGGTCAATCCTGTTGCTGGGGTCCATCGTCCATGTTGTGAGGGTCTGTAGTGCCATGCAATGGTCTCCAAGGGTCCAAATAACCATGGGAATACTGGCCTGACACACCCCACCAGAGTTGGGGTTGTTCATTGGGTGGTGTTGCTTGTGGGGCTTAAGCAGACTTAAGGGTCTCCCGGCTATTTTTGCAGGATTATGTCATATTCAGACATCTGGACCCCGCAGAATCCAGGCAAATTCTCACGATCCCCGTATGAGGTCCGGCAACTCTAACCCGGAGGCAAAGTTCCCACAATGGACCCTAACAGGTTCCATTTTCAATCAAACAATCATTTCATTCAGATTGATCACTACGAAAGTCTCAGAAAAATCAAAACAAAGCTCGCCCATTCCGGGCATTTTGAACAGCATCTACAACCTCATATGTCAGTGTTGCACATACACAGTCTACCCGCGGGGGGGCGTGGCACTCAGATCCTCCCCTCCGACCCCGGACCGTAATACGGACCATAACTCCAGATCCTAGCCTGATAATCCCCCGACCCGGTGGCCAGCAGTCCAGAGCCAGGAGGACCCTGCCCACCAGACATGTCGATACTTATCACTGAGTTCTTGTGTCCCTGGAGGACGAACTGGGTCGTCGCGGTGTGCGGGTTCCAGAACTGAACTCCGCGGTCCTTGGAGCCGGAGACGATCCATTTTCCGTCGGGGGACATGGCTACTGAGAGTACGTAGTCCTGTTCATCCCGTGTGAGATGATAACCCAGGATTAAGGGAGCGGGGAACGTACGCGGTGCCCACCGAGCGTCATCGACTCCCTACGCTCTACGATCCTGCCGCGCCTAGCGCGCTGAGCCTCCGAATCGAGGCTCTTCAAATCAGAAAGGCTCCACCACTTGAGCGTCTTGTCCAAGCTGCCACTGACGAGCGCCTTCCCATCCGGGGAGAAGGCGACGGAATAAACGCTGTCCCTATGTCCGCGGAGACGCTCGATCAGCTGCCCACTCTGCACGTCCCAGATGCGCACGACACAGTCCAGGCTTCCGCAGGCTACGAACCGCCCGTCGGCGGAGACGGCGACGCTCGTCACTCCCGCATCTTGTTGCGTTGCGGGGGTACGGCCGTCCGGATCCGGACTGGGAGGTTGGGCTTGGTCAGTGATGCTGAACATGCGAGCTGCGCACATCCCTGGCTTCGGGGCTGACTCGTGGCCTTCGGGAAGGGGGGGAAGGCGCGATTCGCCAAGCTCCCACACGCAGGCTGTCTTGTCCCCTGAACCGGAGACGATGTACCTTCCGTCGGGGGAGAAACAGAGGGAATAGATCTCCTGCTGGTGGCCTTCGAATATGTACTGCACGTTCTTCCTTACCAAGTCCCAGATCTACCGCATCCAAGTCAGCCACATCCTACATCGTAGCTCCCTGCGCAGGTAAAGGAACGCAGACTCACGCGAACCTGCCGGTCCTCGGCGCCCGTAGCGAGCAGTTTCCCATCAGGCGAGAAACACACGCTACGAATATACAGATCCCCGCCAGACTTGTTCGACTCGTCTACAAGCTGCATGATCTTCACCCCGGTCTTGGTGTCGTATATCTGAGCAGAACGGTTGCATCCCGTAGCGAGGCGTGTCCCGTCCGAGGAGAACCGGACGCAGCAGACGACCCTAGCAATGGGTGAGCATATATCCCACAAAAAGTGAAGAAAGGGAGACGAACGACTCATGCAAGAGGGTATGCACTAACTTGACGTCCAGCACTCTCGGCACATGCGGGTTGTAGATAGCGAACCAGTCCCCTCCCTCTGTCCGATACTCGGGGGGTACGCGGTCCATATCGACCATCTCGGCAGGTCGGGGTTCTTCACCCGGATGGACAAGATTTTGCTGGATGATGAGCGTGCCGGTCTGGGATGGCCTATCGGAACGGGAGGGGTTGAGCGGGTTTGGACGGTTGGGCGGGAGCGCCGGGAGCGCAGGAAGAGGGAGGGGAGCGGCGTACGGCTCAACTTCGCGTGAGAGGGGCATAGCTGGCGGTACAGGTCCGGATCCTAGTCCACCGTTGGGCAGGCCGGGACCAAGCCCGACAGGAGGGCCGGGACGGGCAGAGGGAGGCGTTACGGGCTCTCGGTGAACTTCTGGTAGACCGGCGGGGTGGCCTGCTCCTGGGCGGGAGCGGTCCATGAGTTCGCGTTCGCGGTCGCGCTGGATTGTGGCGCTAGAAGGGCGTTAGTACTTTAACGGGAGAGGGGGGGGGGTACGAAGGGGTGGAGAGAAAAGAGGGGACAGGGGGAGGATCATTAGATAGGAGGGAGAAGATAACGACAGCGGTTAGAAAGTCCGAGAAGCAGAAGCCCAGAAGCCTCAAAAAGGACTACTCACCGTTCATCTTCAACCCGCTCGCGATCATTCATCGGGTTTCCCTGGACTTGAGCTCCCTGCGGACCCTGGGGTTGGACCTGGGACTGTGAGGGGGGAGGGGGACCGCCGTTGGTCAGTGCTAGACCGAGAGGGGGAGGGGGGGCAGGGCCGTAGAACGCTGTTTGTGAGGGCAGAAAGAGGTTAGTATGGAGTGACATGCGAGGGGGAAGCAGTGTATGCAGGAGGGGATGAAGGGAAAGGATGGAAGAAAGGCGGGTATATGCGCAAGTGTGGGGTGATGGAGTGAGTGAGGAGGGAGCGAAGTGCTGAAGGTTGAGTGAATGAAACAAGGTATATGCGGGATGGAGGGGTGAAAGAACAAAGAACAAAGAAAGTGAAAGAAAGTACTAACGCTTAACGTCGACATCCATCCTCGACCTGTCCTCACGCTCCCTCCTCTCCCTCTCTCGTTCCCTCTCTCTCTCTCTCTCCCGTTCTCTCTCCCTGTCAGCCCGTTCCCTGTCGGCCATCTCCCTCTCCACCCTCTCGCGTTCCCTCATCTCCCTCTCCCTCTCTCCTCTCTCTCGCTCTCTCATCTCCCTCTCACGCATATCTCTCTCACGTTGAGCCTGCACATCTCTCTCCCTCATCTCCCTCTCCCTGTTCGGGTCGCGCATGTCCCTCATCTCCCTTCCAGGATTGGCGTTATCCCGCATCTCCCTCTCCCTAGACACACCAGGGTCGCGCATATCCCTGCCTTCTCTCTCCCTAGGGTCTCGGAGCAAGCCCTGTTCACGCATCTCGCGCTCACGCCTCTCACGAGCCTGGTATTCTTCTCGCTCCTTCCTCTCTCTCTCCCTTCCGTCGCGCTCCATCTCCCTCTCTCGGTCCCTCCGCTCTCTCTCCCTCCTTTCCGCCATCTCCCTCTCCCGCTGCGCACCAGGCATACCACCCGGGGGCATCTGCTGAGGCCTGTACTCTCCTTGCCCCTGCCCTGGCTGCTGTTGCTGCTGAGGGGGGGGAGGTCCATACCCGAGCCCTCCAGCACTCCCCGGTGGCGCCTGAAGCCGATCAAGCTGAGCCTGCAAAGCAGCTATATGCTGGCGCAAAGCAGCGTTGTCCGCCCTAGCAACGGACAGCTCTGTGTCGTACGTCTCGCGCAGGGAGAGCTGTTTCTGCTCAAGGACATGATACAAGTGGCGCATTTCCGACAAGTCTGCGATCTGTGCTCTAACTATATGCGCGTGTCAGTATCTCATTCACCCTCCCTCTCCCGATGGACAGATAAACGTACTTCGGTTCTCGAACGTCTCTCGTTCAGCACGATGCTGCGCGCTCTCGGCATGCATCTGCTCCAGTTCCTGCCTGATATTCTCCACCGAGCTGAGGAACTCGAGCGCTCTCCCCGGCTGGGGTTCCCTTCTCCCAAGAGCGATCTCCCTCGGATCCCTCTCCCTGGGATCCCCGCGGGGGTCTCTTTCCCTCAGCTCTCGCGGGTCCCGGTCACGCGGGTCGTGCATCGCCGGCGGGAGAGGGGGCACTGGGAGCGAGTGCGCGTGATGCGCTGCTCCGTTTGGCGGGAGCTGGGGTGGGGAGGCCTGTGGTCCGAGAGGGATCGGAGGAGGGATAGGTACGGGTCCACCTTGATGCGATTGATGGTGGGTTGGCGGTGGAGCGGACATATGGTGGCCTGTTTGTAGGTGGGGGATATGTGGGTGCATCGGCTGAGGAGGCTGTTGTTGCTGTTGCTGTTGCTGTTGTTGACCTAAAGAAGGAGGAGGCTGGGGCGGTTGACGTGGAGGGTAGATTGGAGATTGGTGTGATGATAGCGTGCGATGAGGCAAGGGATGGCGAGAGGCCATTCACTTGCACTCGTGAAGTGAGCCGATGACGAGGGCAAAAGGGGGGGACAAAGGGTGGTTTGACAGTCGGTGAGAAAACGCCCACGATAGCGCGCTGTCAACAACACCGAACGTCGATGGAACAGAACGACGGAGGCAAATAAACACGAGGCATGCCATGTGCTGCGTCTCGGCATCAGACCTTCTGAGAGGCACAGCACACCGGATGTTTCACATGCGTAGAGAAGAGCGGGAAGACTGAAGGCCGAGGAAGAGCGCTGCATTGTGGAGGGTTCTACCAGATGCCGCTGAATTCTCCCATCCAGCAACCACCGAGTAGTGCTCCGAGAAACGTTCCTAACATTCCAGGGATAATCTTCCTGAATCTCGTGGCTCATGACATCCTTTTCAGTCCCTGATGTAGCCATGACGTAAGGAAGACCAGAAGGAGGGATCCAGCTTTCGTTCAAACGACCACACCCACCCCACATCAATCTCGAACGACTATTGTTCCCCCTCTTCCTCTTTCTTCTCTTTCTTCTCTTTCTTCTTCTTCTTCTTCGGCGTCTCCCCATTCGCATCCACAGAAACCATGCTCACGTCCCCATTCCCCTCCTCGTGCTTCTTTTTCTTCTTCTTCGGCTCCTCTCGTCACAGCAAGCTCCTCGTATTCAGTACCGCACTACCATCTCTCTTTCCTCAATCTTGCGAAGTTCCCCACTAGCCCGGCGACAAGGATCGGAAAAGCTCTCGAGTTCGTGTGTGACGCGCTCAGGCGGTGGTACTTTGCCAATTATGGGCTCGGAGACTTCTGCACTGCGGGCGGCGGACTCCATTTCCCTGGTTTAAAACTAATGTGGAATTAGTGATGTGACACAAATACCGAAGGAAGGGGACGCACTTGTTGTGCTTCACCTCACAGGTGCGAAGGTGGGATATCCGCTGCACTGATGGCTGGAGTCCGATTGCGTAAATGATTGGAAGGGAGTACAGCGAGAGGGGTTATCGAGTGTAATGGCATCCTGGATTGAATGTTATTCAGGCTTGGACGGACTTCGGCTGCGGAGAGAGGGATGCTTCTATGTAAGAAACCATCGTCGTAATCCCGTTGTAGGAGAAACACCGTTCCCACGATCAGATGCCTGTCCCTGAATGGGCCCCTTAGTTGTATATGGTCACATTGAATTGTCAGGACTTACACGGGCGCCGTTCCTCGATGACTCTCACAGCCTCTCTTAGGAAGGCAAGGTAACAACCGGCGAATTACCGGTGCGTGGTCGAGGAAGCTTCACCATTTTTATAGGCAACCTGTCCTCTCTCTCTACTGACTCACTCTCCCCTTCTTCCTCAGTTCAGTAGGAATAAGATGGCCTCTCTCGACCTCTTCTGGCAAACGCTGGATACCCCTGGCGTAGCGCTGTACGCCCTCCCCATCGCACACTTCCTGGGCTTC